CCAGATGGATATTCCACGTAATTTAATAAAAAAAACAAAATGAGTTTTTCCGTTAATTAACGCGCCACCTCAGCCAAAATTTAACGGAGGGACTAAAAAGGAGTCGGATTTGTGAACAATAAGGACCAAAAAGGGAATTTTTTCGGTATAGGGACCAAAAAAGGGCTTTTTCCTATAGTAGAGGGACCAAAAAGGGTATTTAACCTTTTTTTTTCGATTTTAGCTATGTTGGGTTCTGATTTTTTTTTTCCCTGATTTTAGTTGTGCTGGGTTTTGCGAGGAACCCAGTTGCTTGGTTCCACGACCCAGCTTCTAGGTTCTGCAGAACCCAGCTTCAATAGATCTGCAGAGGTAAAAAAAAAAAAGAAAAAAGCCAGAGGTAGGAGGGTTTTGCGAGGAACTCGGTTGTTGGGTTCCACGACCCAAGTTTTGGGTTTTGTAGATCTACAGAGGTAAAAAAAAAGCTAGAGGTAGGAGGGTTCTGTGAGGAACCCAATTGCTGGGTTCCACGACCCAGCTTCTGGGTTTTACAGAACCTAGCTTCTGCAGATTTGCAGAGGTAAAAAAAAAAAAAAAAGGGCTGGAGGTAGGAGGGTTCTGCGAGGAACCCACTTGCCGGGTTCCATGACCTAACTTTTGGGTCCTGCAGAACCTAGCTTCTGCAGATCTGCATAAGTAAAAAAAGAAAAAGCCGGAGGTAGGAGAGGATAAGATAGAAACGGGAAGAAGATGGGGGTAAAAAGGAGTTGAATTTTTAATTTTAAGGGCCAACAAGGGAATTTTTTAATACATTGACTAAAAAATGACTTATTCTTATAGTAGAGGGACAAAAAAAGTATTGAACCATTAAAATTAATAATTTTAATCATTGAGTAGAGAGTGGTAGAATGTGGCAAGAGAGTGGTATTTTAATTTTTAGCAACAAGATATGTGTTGCTAATGAGTGGTAAATTTGAAATTCAAAAGGTGGTAAACTTTAAGCAACATGGTTTATGTTGCTGAAAATTACTAAAAGTTCTATATATTCCCCCATCCCCATCCATCTCCCATGCATTCTGCAGATCTTCTCCCCTACTTCTCTTACTCAATTCCCTCTCCTTATCCATCTCCCATCCTTTTTTTTTTTATTTTTTTGTAGCACATACACATCCTCCATATATTTGATCACCCATTTTTATCCATTATATAATATGTTAATTGTACTTATTCTTTGTTATCATTAAATTCTCATATAAATCACTATTTGAATAAGTTCCATCAATTCTCAAATTTTTTATAAATATTATATTTTAACTATGTATCAATTTATTTGAAAGTTAATATATTTACAAATAATTATATATAATAACTAACA